CCAGAGGGAAGCCCGTTTTACTCCGAGTCGTGAATGAATATCGATATGTTTGACACACTAACCCAGAGGGAAGCCCGTTTTACTCCGAGTCGTGAATGAATATCGATATGTGACACACTAACCCAGAGGGAAGCCCGTTTTACTCTGAGTCGTGAATGAATATCGATATGTGACACACTAACCCAGAAGAAAGCCCGTTTTTGTTCAACTCTAGTTAAGATTTAAAATCGGATCTATGGATTCGATGCAATACGATTAAAATAAAATTGTCTTTATTGTTTTTTTTTTCCAATGATTTAACTTATTTTATTGTTTATTTGCTGGCAGTTTTTTTGTTTAAATTTGGTAATTGCGAAATCCCACAAGAATGTACATGACGATAGTTAACATGATAATAATAATAATAATAATAATAATAATAATAATAATAATAATAATAATAATAATAATAATAATAATAATAATAATAATAATAATAATAATAATAATAATAATAATAATAATAATAATAATAATAATATCAAATCATATCATAATCAGATCGGGTTCGATGTAACTATCACTACGCTACCGGATGTCGTATTTGATCACATATTTGTTAAACTTCACAACTGCTAGATCAATAGCAAATTGGTAATTTATTCAACAAAAAATGTCAATTTTGTCACATCTTTTAAGCCATAATACTAAACCAAAGTAGTACCAAATTCCGTAAAATAATAGAAAATACGCAAAGACAGCACCTATACAGCTAGATATCAGTGACATGTCACTTCATTTAATTAATTAAAACTTATTGTAACTAAACAATTATATTTGTGTATAACAGTTAAACCAAATTACCCCACTATGCGTCAGTAAGGTACAAAAACATAACAATAATATATTGATCAAAAGCAAAATCAACGCCACTTTGTTTCAATTACAGTTCGTTACAATTGCCTTTTGCAATATCCGGACACACTGAGTTTACAATAGTGTATGCGTTGCATTGAAAAGTTGAGATAAGATGTCCCTATTCTTACGAATGTCTTGTCTATGCTACATGTGACCAACACACTACGTCTTACACGTAACGGATACATGCATACATTGGGCTGCCTCGTTTATATGAAAGAAACGATCCCCTGGTCAATTCAAGGGTGGGGGGATGAATGAGGTTAAAAACTAACTAAGAGGGATGGGCAACGCAACTTTGCTTTACCTATATACGCGCAATCTGAATTGTATAACTGTATGCCAGGCAGACATACAAGGCACAGAGAAACTTGTTAAGGTAGCGAGAAGGGTTTGGTGACGTTTTTGAATAAAGCATTCTCTGTCTGTGGTTTCATTCATAACCGTAATTTAGCGTATATATTTCAAAAGCTTAAGTATAGAAGTTCGCACAAACTGGACAGAGTATCCAATACAATGTACGTTATTATCCTGGATATACACATTCATTATAGTATTAAAACAAGTGTTTGCGTTTCGTGTAAAATTATATATAAAAATCGAACAATGTTTGAAATATTGATCTACCTGTTTATTTCACCCACGGGAAAATCAGTTTGCTGATTATTATGCTGATTCGGGACTTATCAGGGTAGAGTCCCGGCTAAATGGTCAAAATAATGCAAGTGTGGGGCCAGGATTACAAAGCCCCATGACTCTGTCGAAATCAAAACTGGCATAAATTATACCCCGCTATACTATACTATATGATATAGTATATCATAGACAATATTTATCTGCCATACAGAACGTAATCCTAATCGTGTTAATATGGCCGTTTACTGTACGCGTTTACTGGTTTTGGGAACATTAGTTGAAACGTCCACAGAGTGGCCAATATTTTATCTCAGTCCCTACACTCGCAGCCCAGTATGGTCATTCGTTTTTATTTCAGAGCAAACTGCATGGTCTCCCGACGTCGATGGAGATCGAGAACAATTATGTCAAAAATAATTCTAGATTAATTGAAGAATTGATGTTAGTGCACTATGGATCCATGACATACTAGTACATGGCCGTAAAGTCGTGGTCAAGACAAAGTTCGATTCGGACAGGCTTTATATACGGCTTTCATGAAAACGAATCACCATGTCGTTGATGGCGCCCTAAAATACACCAACCAGTGGACAATGTTCCTCGCCACAGCGGCAGCAGATTACCTCCGTCTAAATGCAGTAACGATATTTTCTTCTCACTTTAAATATCATAGATTTATGATAACAATAATAAATAAAAATGAGATCGTCTGACTACTGAAAAAGGATTAATTAAGGTTTTAATTTTGCCTACTTCGCTGACTGGGAAATGCGCTAAATTAAAACCCAGCGAATATGTAAAATTTAGCATAGAACACATTATCTAAATGATAAAACCGTGAATTTAAAACCAACTGAATATGCCTGAAATGGTAAATCAGCTAAATTTAAACCCATTGAAAATTAGTCATTTTACAGTATTTTTAAGAAAACAACAAGAGTCCGAAATTGTATTGGCAAATCGCAAAATTTGAATTGTATCCGTCTATTTTCATTGGTTTCTATGCAAAAAATAGAGATATATTACTTCCCGGGTAGTGCTGCTATCTGTTTTTTTTAGCTTTCCTTCTCATGTTTCATGTGTAAATTTTTGCTTTTCAAATTTGTCATCTTCCCACAGTTCCTGGCCACCACTAATCCGCGATTTAACATTTATTATTATTAATCCAAGTTTTCGTGGCTTAGGGTTATAGAGTTGGGTATAAGGCATGGTAACCTGTACCGCACTATATTCTTTTTCTATTCCTAGGGTACGCAAACCACTATAAATCAAGTTACAATTTGTATAATTTTATTTTTACTGCCTTGAATTTAATTCAAGGGCAAAGATTATGACGTTAAACAGATTTTAAATTCATATATTGGCTCCTGAAGATCATGATTACTAAACTTGTATAGACTTGAGATGTCTAAAA